ACAGACTGTTGGGGCTATTGCTGTGAGTGAGCACCTAATGAAGGCCATCGCAGGACACGATGGGTTGGGTGGCCACCTTTGTCTCCCAAGGGGGTGATGGTTACACACCGCACCAGGTACTCATTTGAGGCTAAGTCACCGTCTTGGGTACACAGGACTGGGTCAGATAATTATCGTAACCGGTGTTGGCCGTGAGCGGGAATCGAACTCGCGTCGGCGGCTACATAGCGCAGCGCGCCAACTGATGCGCCACCGCTCCCCACGTACACACACAGAGGCGCGCACACACACACAGACGTACACACAGAGACGTGCACACACACAGAGACGTGCACACAGAGACGTACACACAGACGTGCGCACACACAGACGTGCGCACACACAGACGTGCGCACACACAGACGTGCACACACAGACGCGCGCACACACAGACGCGCACACACACAGACGTGCACACACAGACGTGCACACACAGACGCGCACACACAGACGCGCACACACAGACGCGCACACACAGACATACACACACAGACGTACACAGACGTACATAGAGACGCACACACACACAGAGACGCACACACACAGAGACGCACACAGAGACACACACAGACGCGCGCACACACAGAGACACACACAGAGACGCACACACACAGAGACACACACACACAGAGACACACACAGAGACGAACACAGAGACACACACACAGAGACACGCACACACACAGAGACGCACACACACACAGACGCACACACACACAGACACGCACACATAGACACACAGACACACACACACACAGAGACACACACAGACACACACACAGACACACACACACAGACATACACACACAGATACACACACACAGACAAAGACAAAGACAAAGATCCCCCATATAGCCTTAACAGACTGTAGGGGCAAGTGCTGTTAGCGAGCACCTATGAAGGCCGGAACGGTACACGAGGGGGTGGGTGGCCAGCACCACGCCCGACCGCCTTTGTCTCCCCAGTGGCGATGTTTACACACCGCACCAGGTACTCATTTAAGGCTGAGTCGACCTAGGGGAGGCCTAGGACCGGTTCAGATAATCGTCACTGGTGTTAGCCGTGAGCGGGAATCGAACCCGGGTCGCCAGGTTCATAGCGCAGCGCGCTAACCGCTACAGTACCGCTCCCCACACACACACACAGACACACACAGATACACACACACACAGACACACACACACAGACACACAGACACACACACAGACACACACACAGACACACACACAGACACACACACACAGAGACACACACAGACACACACACACACAGACACACACACAGAGACACACACAGACACACACACACACAGTCTTCTCTGCATTGAGCCGGCTCCGTGGGAATGTCGCCGTCTCTGTTATCACGCGCGACACAGAGAGGAGAGAGAGTGGTGGGGGGGGGCTTGCTGGTGCCCCCCCTCCACTCTGCTGTCCGCACGATGCCCGTCTCCGTTCGAGCCTTCACCTTGGAAGGGCGAGCGAGTGGGGAGGGGGGTATCCCCCCGCAGCGGTTCAGGGGGGGGGGGTTATTGTGTCTCCCTCCGCTCGGTTTGTATCCGCCAGCCCAATTCAGTTCTCGCGGACTGCGCACTCCGTGGCCCTAGAAGGTGGGGGGGGTGGGGGGGGATCTCGTGATCGCAGTCTCGGGGTTGTTAAGGCACGGCGGCCGGGGGGGGGGGGCTGTGGATGTGAGCGGCCAGGGAGGGGGCAGTCGAGCTGGGGAAAGGGGGGGTTGTTGGTGGGGATATAAGCTGCCTGGTATGCAAAGCGGGCGGGCGATAGGGATCTGCTTGTCATTATGCTCTCATTTTCATGTCTATTTCCTTAATGAAGAAAGCCCGGATCAGACTTGGCCTCGCCGGGTCTGTGCGGGCCGATAACTCGCTCCCTGCGCCTCTCTCTCTCTCTCGCACGTTAATCCGCGGCAATTACTACGCCCGCGGGCAATCAGGCCTGATGCTCCACCAGCACCACCAGCACCTCCACCACCAGCACCAGGCACGGCGACTCCACCGCGCTCGGTGATGCAAACGGGCAACGGCGCGCCTACAGAGACGGGGAGAGAGAGAGAGCGGGAGAGTGAATGAGAGAGCGAGCAAGAGAGAGAAATGGCATTGCCTCCGCTGCCCTGCATGTTATTCCCACTTTGGGAATGCGTCTATCCGCGGGATGGAGATGATCGGGGTGGGGTGGGGTGCGAGTCAAGTTCTTAGATTTATTTCTCCTTGCTGCCGATGCCGCGACTGGCGTTTTCATCTCCACTTTATTCCACCTCGGATTATGCAAAGCAGATTAACTCGGCCCGAAAAAAAATGAAAGAGAGAGTGATGGAATGGAAATTGCCGTCTTGAGGAGAAGGAGGGGGGAGGAGGGAGAATCGGTGAGCGGCGCCGAGGTTTGTCCGTCCGTGATCTCCGTCTCTTACTCGAGACGGACGGAGACACGCGGGGACACGCAGGGACACGCGGGGACATGGAGACCCATAGGGGGGCGGTGGGGGGGGCGACACACGGAGACACCCGGCCCATAGGAACCCCGTCTCTCATGGGAACCCAGCAACGCGACATTTCCACCCACAGGGAACGCTCATCATCATCATCCTCATCATCATCACCGCCGTCATTGTGCCTCCGCTCGGGGCAGCAGTGGCGAGAGTGGAGCCGATGAAAACTCGTGAATGCGCGAGACAATGGGCAGCCCCGGGGGGGCATCCAGGGCGCCCAGCCCGGGCACAATGACTCCCCAATGAAGTGTCCACATCCGGAGGAGAGGAGAGGGGGGGGGAGATGGGGGAGCCACTCCCCCACATGAGGAGGGCTGCAGTGAAAACATCCGTGGCGCGGGATGGAGGCAGGGGCAGCAGCAGCCTGCCCTGTCTCCCCACGCTGCCGGCCCTGCTTGAGACGAGACACTGCTGGGCAATAAACAGCGATACGTGAACAAATGCACACGCAAAGACAAAGGTTCCCCGTATAGCCTGAATAGACTATTGGGGCAGCACCACGCCCGGTCGCCTTTATCTCTCACCGGTGTTGGCCGTGAGCGGGAATCGAACTCGGGTCGCCGGGTTCGTAACTCAGCGTAGCGCTAACCGCTACACTACCGCTCCCCACACACACGACACCACACACAAAAACAAAGATCCCCATTGTAGCCTGTAACAGACTGTAGGAGCAAGTGCCGTTAGCGAACGCCCTTGAAGGCCGGCACGGCGCACGAGGTGGTGGGTGGCCAGCATCACGACTGGCCGCCTTTGTCTCTCGAGTGGCGATGTTTACACACCGCACCAGGTACTCATTTGAGGCTGAGTCGACCTTGGGGAGGCTCAGAACGGTTCAGATAATCGTCACTGGTGTTGGCCGTGAGCAGGAATCGAACTCGGGTCGCCGGATTTGTACACTACCACTCCCCATCACACACACCATACACACCACACACACAACAACCGCCGTTCACCACTAAGTGGTGGTGACATCAACACAGCGCTCGTGCCAGGCTAGATGCACTTTGAGGCCACTTGAAGTGTCGAAGGCCCGCTCACAGGAGGTCACGGGACAGACCCAGGTGCCATGAGTTGACTGAGATGACTGGCAGATGCACCACCTGTACTCCCTACTGTGCCAACTTGCTTTGCCTTAGCCGCCCGGCGCTCCACTCGTTGTGAGCGTCGCTCCCCTGCGCTCCGTTGTTGTTGGAGGGCGACTGCCTCCATCTCCTCCACAGCGTCCTTCACAGAGGCCGATCTTGACACCGCTGGTACCAGTCATCGGCAAGTCCAGTCAGCTCCACATCCTCCTGTACCAAATCACTCCATCTCGTCTCTAGCCCGTTCCGCGCCTGTTTAGCCCCCTCCATCCGGCCAAACACACACCACACACAACACACACACACATCACACACAGGTGCATTTTGTTAAGATAATAGTGGTATTTGGTCGTTCATGCCATGTTGTTTGGTGCCGTGTGGTTGGTGGTGGTGCAGTGTGGTTGGTGGTGCAGTGTGGTTGATCGTGGTGGTGGTGGTGTATGATTGTGGTGGTGGTGTAGTATGATGGTGGTGGTGGTGTAGTATGATGGTGGTGGTGGTGTAGTATGGTTGTGGTGGTGGTGTAGTATGGTTGTGGTGGTGGTGTAGTATGATTGTGGAGCGGTGGTGTTGATGAGGAGCGCTCTCTCATTGACTCACCGGTGGATGAGCTGACACGACACCAATCGGCGCGTCGGCACAACGCTTGTGCACATGACCATCGAAGTGTTTGGCTGTACTGGGTGGTGGAGGGTTTATAATCGCAGTGACCACGTGGCATAAACATGTGACTTGCTTGTGACGTCACTGGGGAGGGAGGGGCTTAGCGGCACGTGCTTCCTGTTAAGGTACAGTCGATATACAGTAGAGAGCGGCGGCTGCTATCGTGAAAGTTGTCGGCTTTGCTCCCGAAGTTGTCTAAACAAGATTTACATGGGCTAATAAAGCTTCGTTTACCGTTATTTATCGATGCGAGACCACATCCTGAGCGTAAATCACCCTGAGCTGGTTAATTAGTGAGGTGCTGAGGAAGAAAGTGAATTAGACGCCAATCAACATCAAGCGTGAGGCATCGTCTTGGTGGCTTAATCATGTTCAGTGGTGGTGGTGGTGCTCTTTGTGGTTGCGTTAGTGGTTGTGATGGCGATGTCAATGATGTTGATGTTGGCGGTGATGGTCATGTCGTTGTCGATCAAGTTTATCTTGATGGTGGTGATGTCGGTGACGTTGATAATGGCGGGGATGTTTACATTGATGATGGTGATGTTGATGGCGGTGATGTCGGTGATGTTTATTTTGATGTCGGTGATGTTTACGTTGATGATGCCTGTGATGTCGGTGACGATGATGGCGGGCATGTCGGTGATGTTTATTTTGATGGTGGTGATGTCGGTGACGTTGATGATGTGGGTGATGTTCGTGGTGACGGTGCTGCAGGCTGCGTGGGGGAGGAGGATGACGACGGCTCTCTGGCAGAAGTCCCTGACCTGGGGGGCACGGAGGGGGACACGGGGGGCACGGAGGGGGACACGGACACCGATGATCGCGACCCCTGCTCCTCCGACCCCGATGACGATCGAGCCCCGCCCAGCAGCGCTGCCGACTCACCAGGTGAGAGAAGGGGCGGAGAGGCGAGGGCTGCGAAAGAGGGGGGGTAGTAGGGCAGGTGAGGGGTTGGGGGGTAGTGTGGTAGGTGAGGGGGTGGGGGGTAGTAGGGCAGGTGAGAGGGTGTGGCAGCTGTGGCAGGTGAGAGGGTGTTATTGATTGCGATGGAGCAGAGCGGCCGTGTCGCGCGGGCCTCGGGCTGCGTGCACGACGAGGGGGAGGGGGCTGCTGGGAGCCGGTGGGCAGCAGCAGGAGGCTGGAGCTCAGCCACAGGTGCAGACACAAGGTTCTGTGTCGCCCCACTCTGCACGGCATTCTGTCTATCTGATGAAACCCGCCGGCCGAAACATCACCTAATTAATATATTCCTCCCCCTCGTCTGATACCCAACTCGCCTCTCGGTAACTGATACGGCAGCCCCAGCCCCAGCAGTGGAGCGGTCGCTTGATCGAAAGCCGCTTTGTGCGGTCCATCGCTGGGTCGGGTCGCTTAGAGGTCACCCTTTTGACCCTTGTGCCGTGGGTGGTCTTTGGCGGAGGAGCCCCGGGACCTCGCACGATCGGGTCGCTTTGCCAACTCCGAAAGCTGCCGCGCAAATTACCCTGGCGTCTTGCCGATTGGACGTGGGTCCCCGTTCGACGCAAACCTCCGTATTGCAGCGTGCGCTGTGGAGAATACGACTCCTGTTGTCCGCAACGACTCGCACACAGACCCCTTAGCCGACGTGTTGAGTTGACCGATGGGGCTTGTGCGTCACTGCCAACCAAAGCAGCATCGACAGATAGTTTATTTGATTTCAGAGAGCCCCCCACCGCCCACCGCTCACGTGTAAACTAGCGCTCTCGGACGGGAATTCATTTCCCACTGAATATTTTCCGGGTCGCTGGGAGCGCCGGAGTCACGTGACCAGAAGCATCCACCGCCACGGCCTCCTGTCTTGCCGTGCCCCCGCCGAGAGAGGTGGGCACGCTAAGCGGCGGGCGCGTGCCTCCGGTGCCGCCGGCAGCGCCGTGCCCATTGCTGGCAGGAGACCGGCGGAGCCTCTGGTGTCCGTGCCCTCAGATCGACGGCGGTTGGTCGGCGCGTCGCTGGTCGCGGCCGAACGGGGCGCTCGCGACGAGGGCGCCGAGCTTGCGATGACTCGTTGGGTTCACGTCAATCACTTGCGCCAGTCGGACGTTCAGGCGTGGGTCGGGGAAGTGAGACGCGACGCACACGAGGCCGGCAAATGCCAGACCGAGAGACGGGGTTTTTGGAATCGTGGAGATGAATCGGATTTTGCGGGACAAGGGCGGCTCCCAGCATGCGCACTTTGGCCACTCGGGCAACGCGACGATCGCTGCGATTGTCTCGAAACTAACGCGAGCATCGCACACACATGCACAGACATACATGCACCCACACAACAACAACAACAACTGGTTGTGCCGTCAGCATGCAGCTTTTACCAGGCAAGGTGCACCTTGAGACCTCGTGAAGTGCGGAAGGCTTGCTGACAGGAGGCCACGGGACAGACCCAGATGTTATGGGTTAACCGACTGAGATGACTGTCAGATGGACCACACGTGCTTTCCACTGTGCCGACTTGCAGTGTTTTAGCCACCCGGTGTTCTGCTCGTTGTTGTGAGCGTCCCTCTTCTGCACTCCATTGTTGTTGGAAGACGACTGCCTCCAACTGAGCAGTCGCGTCCTTCACGAGCCTCCTCCAGAGGCCGACCTTTACACCTGCTGTCATTGGCAAGTCCGCTCAGCTCCACATCCTCCACGCTCGTTTAGCCCCCTCTCTCCGGCCAAACAGAAACTGCTTCATAATGCGGTGGCTGCACATGCAGATTATATGACCCATCCAGCACACCGATGGGACTGTGTTCAGAGCTTTCAAGAATGTGTAAGCTCCTGGCTCCTGGTTAAGCCCAGGAGGGATTGCAGACAGGCCAGACTTAATGTTTAAAATCAGAGGAGATGCTCTCTCAGAGGGGTCCAGGTTTCACAAGCATACAGAAGGGGGGGCATGACTGACCGAGAAGACCCAGAGCTTCGTATGGAGCGATAGGTCAGGTAGCTTCTACACAGGGTTGCATCCACACAAAGAACCCCCGTATAGCCTGGAACAGACTGTTGGGGCAAGTGCTGTTAGCGAGCACGTATGAAGGCCAGAACGGCACACGAGGGGGTGGGTGACAAGCACCACACCCGACCACCTTTGTCTCCCCGGTGGCGATGTTTACACACCGCACCAGGTCCTCGTTTTAGGCCGAGTCGACCTAGGGGAGGCCCAGGACCGGTTCAGATAATCTTCACTGATTTTGGCCGTGAGCGGGAATCGAACTTGGGCCGCCAGGTTCGTAGCGCAGCGTAGCGCTAACCGCTACACCACCGATCCCCACACACGTACACACACACACACAACCACGTGTACACAACACACACGTACACACACAACCACGTGTACACAACACACACACACCTACACACAAACACAACCACGTGTACACACACGTACACACACGCGCACGCAGGTGTGTACAAGAGACACGCATCTTTGTATTTGCACGGGGAGAGGTTGCGGGCGCGTGGGGCTATTCATGAAGGGTGACCGCAGGGCAGGGGGGGGGTGGGGGGGGCGCTACTCGCCGGCCCCCCGCCACGGGCGGAACGAAAGCAAAGCAGCCAGCGCTCCGTCACCGCTACCGTTGATCCCACGGCCGGGGAAATTCATCTGCTCCCCCCTCCACCCCTCCACCCCACCCCCGGCCTTGTTCCCCCGCCGCGGCGCGCATCGGAGCCCCGCCGAGGCTTTGGTCGGCCGGACGTGGCGCGGGGTCACGGCTCTGTTGTCGGGACATTCAACGCGGCGCACTTTCTGCCAGCAGCAGCAGCGTGTTGAGCGATTGCAGCGCCGCACCTTGTAACCCGCAGGAGCCGCCGCGGGTGAATTGGTCGGCGCGGCAGACTTGCGGTCCACGGTTTTCGCGAGTTCAGCCTCCCATCATCTCCCTTTACCCTTACGGTGCTGTTCGTTGCTGGCCTGCGCTCGACAATAAAAAAAAACCTTTCTTAAATGCCCTCCCCCCACCTCTGTCCACCCAGCGGGACAGCACAGTCTATCGGCAGGTCACGTGCAGGAGGATGAAGTGTGGGTACTGCCACCTCTGCTAAGACGTGCTGGCCTGCGCATGGAAATGCCATAGCCGTATCAGCCTATGGATCCACTTGTTGTTATTCCGCTTGTTTACCTAGAAAAATCTCACCGAGTCTCAGGACTCTTTTTGAAGAGGGTCCTTCCAAGGGGGGGTGGGGGCATTGTTGCTATGCAGACTCCGCACGCAGTCCTTTGCAGGTTTGGCCAATACCGGAAAACATTGCCTGGCAGAGCGCGACGCCGCGTCTCCACGGACAATCGCAAAGTGGCCCGCGAGGTGCCACGGCCCGGCACCGCTCTGCTCCTCTGCCCCTGCCGCTCCGTTCCTACTCCCCCGCCCCCTCCTCCCCAGCCAGCTTCTCCACCCCGTCCGATGGGATGGGCCGCGATCAGCGGTTTTCTGATGAGGGTTTATCGTACGCGCTGGCTTAAGTACGACTCTTGCGGCGTTTCTCTCCCCCGTTTTGCGAAGGAAAACCGGCAGGTCCTTCCTCGTTAATCCCGTGACGTCACGGCCTGGCTGTGAGGCCCCACTGTAGGCCCAGCTGTGAGGCCCCGCTGTAGGCCCAGCTGTGAGGCCCCACTGTAGGCCCAGCTGTGAGGCCCCACTGTAGGTCCAGCTGTGAGGCCCCACTGTAGGCCCAGCTGTGAGGCCCCACTGTAGGCCCAGCTGTGAGGCCCCACTGTAGGCCCAGCTGTGAGGCCCCACTGTAGGCCCAACTGTGAGGCCCCACTGTAGGCCCAGCTGTGAGGCCCCGCTGTAGGCCCAGCTGTGAGGCCCCGCTGTAGGCCCAGCTGTGAGGCCCCACTGTAGGCCCAGCTGTGAGGCCCCACTGTAGGCCCAGGTGTGAGGCCCCACTGTAGGCCCAGCTGTGAGGCCCCACTGTAGGCCCAGCTGTGAGGCCCCACTGTAGGCCCAACTGTGAGGCCCCACTGTAGGCCCAGCTGTGAGGCCCCGCTGTAGGCCCAGCTGTGAGGCCCCGCTGTAGGCCCAGCTGTGAGGCCCCACTGTAGGCCCAGCTGTGAGGCCCCACTGTAGGCCCAGGTGTGAGGCCCCACTGTAGGCCCAGCTGTGAGGCCCCACTGTAGGCCCAGCTGTGAGGCCCCACTGTAGGCCCAGCTGTGAGGCCCCGCTGTAGGCCCAGCTGTGAGGCCCCGCTGTAGGCCCGGATGGCACCCGTCCCGGCGGCTCGGCCCGGTACTGCGCCCCCCCATCGCGGCTTACTTTCGAGCGGCCATGTGAACGCGGCGCTAATTGCTCGGGGGGACCGACGAGAAGAGGAGACGTGGGAACGGGGGGGGGGGGGAGTGTTTGGGGCGAGCGCCCGGGAGGGGGGGGGGCGGTGAGGGGTGGCTCCCCGGCCCCCCCGTGCCCTGCGTGCCCCGATAGCTGCAGCGCGCCTTGAGGTTGCGATAAGATTAGCGCAGCCCTGGCGCCTCGAGATGAAACAACCAGAAGACAGTTTCAGTGGAAAGAATTACTTCTCCAGCGCCGTGTTCCCACCCTCTTCCCCCCACCCCCCCTTTGCTCATCCCTCCCCCCGCCTCACCCCCTCATCTCCCCCCCCCCCATCTCATCCTCAAACCCCGATAAGCCCTGGTGCTCTCGAGAGCTCTGTCTCTGTGCCGCTGTGGTTCACAATTTGCCGGTGTTTGTCTCGGGGTTTGTTTGCTGCTGCTACTGCAGCTGCTGTCGTGACTGCCGATGCTACGACTGCTGCTGCCACGGCTGCTGATGCTGCTGACAATAATGAGCCTGCTGCTGCTGCCGCTGTCACTGCTGCTGATGCTGCCACTGTTGCTGATGTCGCGGGGGCGGCGCGTTTGTCTCTGACCGTGACGGTGTGCGGCGGTTGACCAGGAACGCTGTCCTTGCCGTACGATGACGAGACGAGCGCACGTTCTTTTTTATGTCCTCAGAAGAGGCTGATTTCCCCTTCTCACTAGTGGGGCCTAGTTAGGCACCGTCAGCTCCTCGTGGACGGCCACAATGGCTCCCATGATCAAGCTGAATGCACACGCGATCACCGTATACACCTTATACTACCAGGCGAGGGCCTGTGGCTGCCCAGGGGAATCTCGCCGAGCCTCAAGACTCATTCGCAGGAGGGATCCTGCGTCGGGATGTCTTGGGTACCCCGAGTAAAGCCACGCTCGTGCCGGGATAGCGTGGCCCTGCGTGCAGGTTCATGATCCCTGTTGCTCTATTACTGCCTCCGTGAGCGAACTACCGCGCCCCTCGCCCACCCCTACCCACCGCCGTGGGTGAATGGGGAAGTCTTTGCTGGGCATTGCCACGTCAGTCGGGGCTGATGATTGAAGCCCTTCCAGTGAAGTGTCACAGTTCGTCGGGGCGGTGTTGTATTGTTTGTCGCAGCTTGGTGATGGTAACAACATTGGTGCTTGGTGGTGATGGTGATGATCGTGGTGATGATCGTGGTGATGATCGTGGTGATGATCGTGGTGAAGATGGCAATGCTAGTGATGGTGAAGATGGTGATGATGGTGGTGGTGATGATGATGATGGTGGTGGTGATGGTGATGAGGATGGTTGCGAGGACGATGATGATGATTATTATTGTTATTTTGACCCCTTTCTGCGCCCCCCCTCCCCCGCCAGTTGCGGTCGATGCCGGGAGGCGGTCACCTTCGGAAGACGAGCGCGACCAGGAGTCACCACGTCCACAGCGGTGGGCACTACCGGGTGAGCGTGACCTCGACCTCGCCCCTCACTCACCCACGCACAACAAAGACAACGATCCCCCCTGTAGCCTTAACAGACTGTTGGGGCAAGTGCTGTTAGCGAACACCTATGAAGGCCAGCACGGCACACGAGGGGGTGGGTGGCCAGCACCACGCCCGGCCGTCTTTGTCTCCCTCGTGACGATGTTTGAGGCTGAGTCGACCTAGGGGAGGCCCGGGACCGGTTCAGATAATCGTCACCGGTGTTGGCCGTGAGCGGGAATGGAACTCGAGTCGCCGGGTTCGTAGCGCAGCGCGCTGACCGCTGCTACACTACCGCTCCCCACTTTACTCGCTCACAGACACACACACTGAGACACGCACTGACACACACACTGACACACACACTGACACACACACTGACACACACACTGAGACACGCACTGAGACACGCACTGACACACACACTGACACACACACACTGACACACACACTGACACACATACTGAGACACACACTGAGACACGCACTGACACACACACTGACACACACACTGAGACACACACTGACACACACACTGAGACACGCACTGAGACACGCACTGACACACACACTGACACACACACACTGAGACACACACTGACACACATACTGAGACACACACTGAGACACACACTGAGACACGCACTGACACACACACTGACACACACACTGACACACACTGAGACACTATACTATTGTTGCGTATGATGGCAATGTGTTCAAGATCTTAATGCCAATGTGGAGGACTGCTCACCACGAGAGGGCTTCAGGAGAGAGACGCTGGGTGTCGCTTTGCTGTTCCTCCTGCGTTGAAGGAGTGCAGGTCACAGTGGTTGACTGTCTGGTCCAGAGTTCGGGTTGCATGGCCACAATCAGCACTGTGGCTACTCTTTAAATGTTCGTAAATTTTCATTCACGAATAAGATGTGCCCATCGGCCTGTTGATGCTCTGACCCACACACTGATGCACTCACTGACACATTGGCACACACACCGACAGTTAATGTGTGAGAGCGTGTGTGCGTGCTTGCGAGTGCGTGCGTGTGTGAGAGCGTGCGTGCGTGCGCGTGCGTTCATGGGTGTGAGCGTGCGAGCGCGTTGGTCAGCGAGCCGGTGAGCGTGTGTGACTGTAGGCGTGCGGTTGTGCATGACCGTGCGTGCGTACATCAAGATCGGGCGAGCTCAGTAGCCGCGATGGCCGTTGCACCAGGCCGCAGGCCTCTCGTGTGGTCACGCTGGGCAGCGCGCGCACGGAAACGAGATCTCGCGTCGCGGTTCGGCGCCATCCACCGGCGTCTTGCACAGTGGCACAGCACAGAGAGAGACACAGCAGAGAGAGAGAGGCACAGCAGAGAGAGAGTGGCACGGGAGAGTGGTACAGCAGAGAGAGAGTGGCACAGGAGAGAGAGTGGTACGAGAGAGTGGCACAGCAGAGAGAGAGTGGTACGAGAGAGTGGCACAGCAGAGAGAGAGTGGCACAGCAGAAAGAGAGTGGCACAGCAGAGAGAGAGGCACAGCAGAGAGAGAGTGGTACGAGAGAGTGGCACAGCAGAGAGAGAGTGGCACAGCAGAGAAAGTGGCACAGCAGAGAGAGAGTGGCACGGGAGAGTGGCACGGTGCCACACAGGGCGTGCACCCAGTGATTGTGCGTTGACCTGATCGGCGGTGTTGTCAGCGCCGGACGCTCACCGGTAGTGGTGATAATGGCAGTGGTGGCGGTGGAGGTGGTGGTGGTGGTGATGGCGGTGGTGGCGGCAGTGGTGGCGATGAAAGCCCTGGCCGAGGCTCCGACTCGGCGCCTGCTGTTTTCTTTCGTGGAATATTGCTGGGTGCCTGCGCCAAATATTAAGAAGTGCTGACACAGCGACAAGAAATCTGGAGAGCTCCTAATCTCTGGGGTGGGGGGTGGGGGGGGGTGGGGGGGGGCTACCGGGCGGGGGAGGGAGGGGGTGGCACGGGGGCACCTCCTTGGCATCCTTCTGTGCTCCTCACTCGAGAGCCACGTGAACTGGTTAGTTCCGCGCGTCAGGCGTGGTCAATCCGCTGCTGGATGAAGGCCTCCCTCCCCAAGGCGCCGCCGCCACCTCCCACGAGCATGCGATCCAGCGCTCTGCTCGACACAAGCCGACTTCATCGCTCCGTCTCCTCGCAGGTCGTCCTCTCGGATGCGTTCCATTCCTTGCATTCCAATCGACCATCGTCCCTCATCATCATCATCAGCCGTAGTCAATCCACTGCTGGGTGAAGGCCGTCCTATGCCGTATCTGTCGTGGAGCGAGCGGCTCGGCAGGTTCTGAGTTTTTAAACAATCCTGGTGGTGGGGTCGATTCATCCCATGTGTGTACATCTCTCGCACCGTACGTAGGCAACCTTGCTCATCAGAGGTGGCGGTTGGTGGGTGAATGGGTTGGTAGTTGGTGGGTGGGTAGGTGGGTTGATAGTTGGTGGGTGGGTCGGCGTGGGGTGGTAGTTGGTGGGTGGGTAGGCGTGGGGTGGTAGTTGGTGGGTGGGTAGGTGGGGTGGTAATTGGTGGGTGGGTAGGTGTGGGGTGGTAATTGGTGGGTAGGTAGGCGTGGGGTGGTAGTTGGTGGGTGGGTAGGCGTGGGGTGGTAGTTGGTGGGTGGGTAGGTGGGGTGGTAGTTGGTGGGTGGGTAGGCGTGGGGTGGTAGTTGGTGGGTGGGTAGGCGTGGGGTGGTAGTTGGTGGGTGGGTAGGCGTGGTAGTTGGTGGGTGGGTGGGTAGGCGTGGGGTGGGGTGTGTGAAGGGGAGTGGGCAGAGAGAGGAGCGGCGTGCGGCGCTCCGTCCGTCACGCCGCTGGGAGAACATTCATTCGGCGTGGAAAAGTCGACGTTTGTGAAACAAAATAAAACTCGCGATGAAGGGGGGGAGGGGTCTTGTTTTTTTTAGCGCCTCGATAAGGATCCGGGTGGGGGGGGGGGGGCCGAGGAGGGAGATGGCGGCGGTGGCGGCGGCGCTGTTCGGGGTTGCGGTCGCGTTTCCGCGTCGCTCTATAAACTCCAGCGCGCCGCTGATTTATCGCGTCGATGTTGCGTTAGTGGTCGTATCGCCTCTCCCCCCCCTCCACTACTGCCCCCTTCCCCAACCGCCACCCCCCTGCACCTCCGGCAGTAGTCACGAGGAGGGGGCGCTGCTGGGCGCGTTGGGGGTGAGGGCGACGTTACCCCCCCCACCCCCCCTCACTCTGCGGTCAGCTCTGAGGTTCGCTGGGTCGGCGATGACGGTGGTGGTGGCGATGGCAACGATGGTGTCGCGATGGTGGCCGCGGTGGTGTTAGTGATGATTGCTGATAGTCACGCCGATGGTGAGGCCGAGGGAAATAGCGTCACGATCATGATTGTACGGTGATGATGGAACGGTGATGATGGTACGGTGACGATGGTGGGGATGATATTGAGCCCTGATAACGCGACGGTGGTGGTGGCGATGATGATGTCGCGGCCGATGGCGACGGCGCTGGCGACGAGCGCTGGCGCTGGAGGAGCGGTGGGGAAGCGGCGACGAAGCAAAACAAGCGCCAGGCGGTTGTGTCTGGCTCCGCTCCAGAGCCCCGGGACCTGTGGCCGCTTCCCCCGGCGGCGGCAGGGCTCTTGTTCCCGGAGCTGTGCTCCCAGCTGCCTGCCGGCGGAACTCTCGACCGGAGGCTCTAAAGCACGCGTCCGTCCGTGCGTGTGCCCGTGCCCATGCGACCTGGACGCGCGTGTGCCCGTGCGTGCGTTGCGACCTGCGCGCGTCCGTGTGCGCGCGTGTTGTTTGGTGTTAGGTTTCACTTTTTTAAGGAAATTCTATCAAAGGGTTTGGTGAGCAGGAAGGGGATGCGATTCACCACTGTTCTGTGCGTGTCTGTGTGTGTGTGTCTGTGTGTGATTGTCTGTGTTTGTCTGTGAGGAGCGGTAGTGCAGTGGTTCGCGTGCTGTATTGCGAACAAGGAGACCGAGTTCGATTCACTACCAACACACGGTTGCCTGAACCGGTCCTAGGCCTCCCCTAGGACGACTCAGTCTCAGATGAGTGCCTGGTGCGGTGCGTAAACATCGCCACTCCGGAGACAAAGGCGGCTGGGCGTGGTGCTGGCCACCAATCCCTTTGTGTGCCGTGCCAGGCTTCAAGGGTGTTCGCTAACAGCACTTGCCCTAACAGTCTGTTAAGGCTATACGGGGGATCTGTGCGTGTCCGGGTGTGTACGTGCATGCGTGCGTGTCTGTACGTCAGTGTGTCTGTACGTCAGTATGTCTGCATGCATCTCTCGCATCAGTAGCCGGGACCCCCCGGGAGTGAACGCGCAGGGGGAGTAGCGCACTCCCAGGGTAGCCGCGCCGATCGTGCGCCCAGCGGGTCGATCGGCGGTACGGGAGACGCGCAGCGGCACCCGCAGGGACGTGCGCCCTTGGCCGCCCGTGGTGCCGTCTCACGGCAGAGCCGGCCATTGTGAGCCCCCCTGCCCCCCCCCCCCGCCCCCCCCCCCCCCGTTAACCACGAGTCGCTCGCCGTGCAGCGGAGCGGAGAGCGCGCCGTGCCATCCGTGTGGCGACGTGGGCACCCGTGCCCTTGGACTCACCGCGCGCTCCCACCCCGCCACCCCCCCCCCCCCGTCCCCGCCACGGTGTCCGCTTACCATCAGATCGCGTCTCTGTGGCTGCCGCTGCCCAGACAGGAGGCCGCTGTCTCCGGAAGACAATGGCCAAGGCCGTGCGCCGCCATCCCCGCCATGCCCACCGTGCCCCGGCCACGTCCTGCCCGCACGTGAGCCCGTGCGTGCACGCACGTGCACGCACGTGCGTGCACGCACGGGCTCACGTGCGTACACGTGCGTGTGTGTGCGTGCGCGCGTACACGTGCGTGCACAAGTGCGTGTTTACGTGCGTGTGTGTGTGCGCGTACACGTACGTACACGCTTGTGCGTGCGCACGAACGTGCACGTGCATGAATGTTACTAATCGTAACGCCGTGACACGCAGTGTAA